TTATCTATAGAAAAATAATTAGTACACACTCGGTTCAACATATTTTTTGACATATTTTCAATTTAATTATTAAAAATATAATATAAATAAAATTAATTTAACCTGTTCCTGTAGCTTATGTGCATGATTATATATTTAAACTTATTTACCTTTAATTTAGTATTTTTTAATAAGTGTGTTGGCAGTGTGTCAAACTGAATATGTACCAATTACTGTCCGGATATCTGTCTTTATATCCATATATATACATAATATTAAATATTATCCTCAAGAATTTAATAGGCATTAAAATTTGTTATTTTTGTTTTAATTATAAAAGAAATTTTGTTAAAAAATTACAAAATATTATTTTTACATTAAAATGTAATAAATGTATTTATTATTTTTATTTTTTAGTTTCTTTCTCTTCTCAACTTATTTTTCTTTTCTCAGATATTTTATCATTATTAAAATGAACAAACCCCAAGTTTTATAGAAGGTAAAAATAAAAGATTACAATGCATATAAATTACTAAATGCATGTTAAAAGCTTGGTACATTTATACAGAGGTAACCCTCTATCTTCTACATTAACTTACAATTAATAAGTGTTTATTATATGATTTTAATAGTATAGTACTTTTATATTTTAAAATGCATTGAATGTATTATAAATAATATTATGGAGATATTATATTTTGCTATCTTTTCCTTTATATTCTTATTTTTTATCCCCTTACTTGTACCATCATTCTTATTCCTGTTAGATAAACGTTTTATTAGGAGGATTAATTTTATTGTGTGGTATTAAGCCTATCATTTTGATCTCATCCTTCATTCACTCATCTCCCTAACGTCATTTCTAGGCTAATTCTAGCAATAACTAGATTGTTGTTAGAAGTAAATAGTCTCATAGGAGTTTTTTTTCTTTTTTCCTTTTGCTCTCCCACCTAGCCAACTAATAAAATTCAGTAAGGCTGTTCTATTTTTTTTTTTTAACATTTATTTTATTTTCTTATGTTGATTTTCTCTTTGCAGGGACTTTGTTGCATCTTTTTTCTCTTTGCAGGGACTTTGTTGCATCTTTTTTGAGTATTTGTTCTTTAGGGTGATCTGTTTATTCTGCATCTTTTCTTACCATCAAAGGTAATATTGGTTTTATTTCATTAGTAACTTCTTATTCTTTTCGTACAAAATTGATTAAAAAATTTGGTGGTAGTTTGATATTTTTGGTGGCTTTTTAATTATGGTGGGTTTTCAAATTTTAGTTTGAAATATAATGTTGGTTTTGGTTTGATGGAAAAGGTATTATCCAGAAAAGTGTTAATTATGAGGTTCTTTAAGATTTTTTTGTATTACTAAATTAGGTAAATTTATATTGCCTATGCTAAATTTCTTCATTAGTTTTCTTTTATTTTTCATATTTCTCTTCTACCCAACCAATTAATGAAATTTAGTGATGGTGTTTTATTTAAAAAATAAAAACTTTATTTTCTTATATTGACGTTCTTTATGTATGGAGTTTGCTTCCTATTTGATTATTTGATGCTCTCACATTTGAAGATTCATTCATTCAACCTCTTTTTCTTTTTGCAAAGGTAATATTAGTTT